TGGGGCCGTTTAGCCAATATCCTCGCATTTGTGCTTTTGCGCGCTGCATGTGGGTGTCCGGCTTCACAGCAGGGGGGGCCCGGGGGTGGGGAAAGGGGGGCGGGTCAATCGATGCGTCGTTGCTGTGCTTGGGTGCATCTTTCCGGCGTCCCCCTGCCATGATTTTTGGCACGACAGCCAGGCAAACGTGATTTCTTTCGGAATGGTACTCGCTACAGGACCTGCGTGCGCCTGTGGCCTTGCATGCCACCACCCAATGTACATTGCCGTTGCGCGCCTCCACAGCAAGTTTATATGCCCGCACCCATCTCACAGTCTCACATGATCTCGACTCGCATGCATCCGTCTCACAGTCTTGCATATCCCCAGCCCACACCCATCAGATTCATACACCATGGTGTGGGTACTGCTGCAAGGGGGGGAGATCGATCAATAACAGGGCTCAATTTAGGGTGTACACTATCGCCTCGATAGTGGGAGACATCCACACAAGACCAACTAGCACAGTTGACCATTTGTATGCCAATGTTGAGGATTTGGAGGTGTTGAAGAGCTGCAGAGATGGTGCTTGCTGGAAGCGTGACACACAGCGGGCAGTGGGATCCCCATGATGCAAGTTGCAATGGATTCTCCTCCGTGGCAAAGCCAAGCTACGTGGAGTACCAAAATATGTGGGACCTTGGAGCAGCACACATACAACTGCGCAGTACAGCATGCTTGGCCTCATTCTAGACTTTCCACGAGGCACTTTACTGATGTGTGAGCATGGCGGATGTCATCATAGCGGCCACCGCAACTGCCATCCCTGGTCGGACAGATTGGCGATGTGCAGGCTTGTTGTTTACGCCGTAAACACAGATCGTGTTTACATTTTTGATACGTAAAAATTGTTTTACGTTTTCGAGCAAAAAACGCGTAAAACTACGTAAATGGAACGTAAAAACAGCCCCGTGTACATAAGAACAGTACATACAGTCTTCGGCACTCCGAAGAATGGCATCCAGACGCACTGCAATGGGCAGAAAAAGTATTTTGTTCAACACCATCTTGGCCCTTGCCGAGTGGGAAGCGGACGCTGCGTTGCGGGCGCTCAAGGGGCCGGAGTCGCGATCACTGTACGCAACTTTTATCGTGCAGCATGGGTGTCGCAACGAGCCGTAAAACCGTAAAAGCAGCCATAGAAGGCCTCCTTTTCAAATTTACATTTTTATGCGTAAAAGCACAAACGTAAGAACGTGAAGGTAAAAATAAATAACGAACCTGGCGAAGGGGGCGTGATCAGGGCAGATGCCATCACAACAGCCTGAGCAACTGCCATCTCACGTCGGTCAGGCTGTAGATGATCATCTACAATGATCATCTATGCATTCACGAGTGCGCAAGCATCGCTGATGCTATCATTGCAACCACCACAACAGCGATCCCGTTTTGGTGACGGACATTGAGGCATCCCAACGGCATCCTTGTTGTGAAAATGGCTGTGATGCCCAAAGTTGGCGGCACAAAGCGTCGTGATGCCGTGACGCCATGGCATCGCAAATATGGTCATTTCCGCTAGTGCAAAAGCAGGTACACGGGGATTTTGGGTTGAATTTTTTCAAATTGTGACCTCCTTTTGTAATTTGGAGTCAGTTTTCGGAACAAAAGTTCTCTTCAAACAGAGGGCAATTGGTTGGGGATCATGTCATGATGAACATCTCATTGAGAGGACCCCGTCAGCGAGCGTGAGCTAGACTTCTGTTGAAGGTTTGCTTGTTGTACGCGCTGGTGGCACTGCAGCTTCATCACAATGGGGGATGCGCGTGGGTCCGCGTGATGTTAGATGTTTGATGTTTTCGTTGGCCTACCGAGTAGCTTGTGCACCCATGCCTGGTAGACGCGGACAGCACATCATGGGAGAAGCGCGGCTGTGCATCATGAGAGAACCCCGTCAGCGAGCGTGAGCTGAATTTCTTCTGAAGGCTTACCCGTTGTACGGACTGGTGGCACTGCAGCTTCAACACAGTCGGGGATGCGCCACGTGGGTCTGCGTGATGTCAGATGTTTGATGTTTTCGTTGGCCTACAGGGTAGCTTGTGCGAGGCTGCGGACGGCAGATCGTGGGAGAAGCGCGGCAGCGAGGGTTTAGCAGGCTTTCTCAATGTACGTACCGGTTGCGCTGCCAGGGCGCAGACCCACGAGATGCATCCCCCAGTGTCGTCCTGGTTTGATGCTTGCGGGGCCTTGCGGGGTAGTCATGGGGTAGCTGGGGGCTTGGCAGGACTTAAGGCAGCCGGTAGCCAGCGAACCAGCGTGTGTTTGCTTCGTGATGGCGAGCCAGCCAGCCAGCCTCTTCGTGTTCGCGCTTCTGTGCACCGCAGGTGGGTGTTCACCGCGGGGGCGGCGGCGTGGACGTTCGCTCGGTGATGCACCAATCGATGCGTCCTGCTGCCTTTGGCGGCATCTTTTCGACGGCATCTCGCGCGCTGGCTGGGTTGTTGTCGACAGTGAGGAGGGCGGTCAGGGACCCTCGCGGCTGGGTGGCACAGGCGGGCGCAGGAACCCACTGTCTCCATAGCTACCCGAGCTCAACGGGGAAGGGCGGCCAGCGCTGTGGTCTGCCGGGTGGCCGACCGCGACTGTTGCTGGGCGAGCGTTTTCGCAAGTAACGCTGGTCATTTTGGCCGACATCCCCCGACCTGCATGATCGGTGCAATGCCGATCCAGCGCCTGACTTCAGCATATTTGGATGTTTCTGAACCCCGCCCGGCGCTTGGGCGCCCGTCCTCCCCAGTTTGCGTCCTGTCGCAGGATGCCCGGGACTTCATCCCGCGGGTCGGCGCTCACCACGGCGCCGGGCACCTTGGACACAGCGGACTCCTGGGCGACCACCTGCTGGGCGGCGGAGTGGCGTGCAACGCCTCGTGCAACCAGATGGCGTACGAGAGCGGCTCCGATTGCCAGGGCACGTTCAAGGTGGGCGGCGCCGCTGCGCCCTCCGGGCTCGAGTCTGCCGAGTCAGGCTGCCAGACTTAGTTCGCGAGTTGCCGGTCTGTGTGGTCGATTAGCCCAGACGTTGGCCACAGGGGCGGATATACGTCCAAGGACTTGCGAGGCGGCCTGTTGTGAGGCTGGAGCACCCCAACGCTGTTTTGTTGTAAGGCGCACCGGTGCACTGTGGTTCGAAGCCCGCTCAGTCCTATCGTCGTCGGTGCGCAGCGACGTAACAGTTCAATTGTGTCAGTGCAGGGGAATTCCCTTGTTCTTAGTTGCATGTAATACATTTTGGAATTATTAAAAAAAGTGTCGGTGCCGGAGCCATGGGCGCGTTCAGCTGTTCGAGATTCGTTGGTTTTCGTAGAGTCTTTAGAGCTGGCGAAATAATCCACTATTAGGCCAAAGTTAGGCCAAAATTAGGCCAACATTGGGCCAAATTTACCCATTCAACGCAGTGCAAGTCAGGCACGAGTGCCATTCTTCCAATGGCAGGTGTGGGGGGAGAATCGTGTACCTGGTTATATTACCACCTGCGACAGCATGAGCAAGGCTCAATCTCCTCCATCACAACGGGGATTACTGTGCCGACATATTATGCCACGTAAATCGGGCCTGGGCGCCAAACGCGGCCTCACCAGACGCAACTGCATGGCGCCGTGTGATTGGGCTCCCAATAAGCGTACTTTGTTAAACACTTCGGCATTGTGACGTAAGACAGAGCGCTTTTCGTCAAGCCACAGAAACGTGAAACGACGCCCTTCCAGGGAGGGGTGAAAAAGAAGTCTTGAAAACGGGGACGTCAAGATTTCTGACGCACAAAATATTGCACAAAAATGCCGTTAAAGATGGTATATACGTTCGCGTGCATAATCATCCATAATTTGTTAATTTTGGGTAAATTTAATGACTAATCGAACGAGAACCTTTTCGTTTTCGAGATGCTTTTCAACTGTGGAACGCTTCAAAGTGTGCTTTCAGTGAATCAGTCAGTCAATCAATCAGTGCTTAAAAATATACTTCCCGAGGAGGTGTCAGAAGAAGGATGGTTCGTCCTGAGCCTTCAGTCACGTGAATTCAGTGTTCTCGCTCCTCACCCCTTGCGAGGTAGCACAGGTCAAGATCAGAGCGGTTGCTATGCAACCTTTTCCTTGTGCTTACAAGTGCACTTTACAAGGTACCACCGTACAGTTGCACTGTGCTGTGTATGATTCATATGGTAAATAAAGTCCTAGAAGAAGCAAGCACGGAAGTCGATGGTGGCGGTCTCGCGAGAGTCGTGCTCACATTGCAGACAAGTACTTCTCTCGAACGACTGCTTGGTCTCAGCGCACGACATTATGTCCAGTTGGGCCGTGCTGGACATTCTTCCACTCTTGGCAGTTTCATTCCCTTCGCAAATGGAGAACGAAACATATGAATCAAGGGTTTGCCGTTGTGACAGCTTTCAGGTAACCTCGCAATTCCTAAGTGTGTACAGAATACATACCATTGTACTAGCAGCACCATGTTCCAAATCAGAAGAGACACATTCGATTGGGTACCAGTGATATTTTTCCGCAGAGAACATGAAACTGAAATTGAAAAATTGGAAATGAGATTCCCACTGGCTTGAAGGAAGGGGTTGCTTGAGATCCATGCATATCACAAACATCACCATGAACGAAAGTTGGGTTGTGCATTATTGGACAAATAGAGATTGGGTACACACACCTTGCACAGTAATTAATGATCCAAGTCGAATGTTTCTCATTGGGGAGGATATCTAGGACTAAAATATTCGAAATTGAAAGCCAAACAATTTTGCAAAGCAATACGCAAAGTCTATCATCGGAGCTCGTGCGACTTCATGGTGACGAATTCCCCCAGCAGGTTTGCCTGTGGAATACAGCTTGCCCCCCCCACTCTGACCACTCAAGTTCTGATTTGATTTTCTGTTTTCGCCCATATTGTTCCAGTTTCCTTCCTCAGAAGCATGAAAATGCATTTATGTCAGGGACTAAAGTGGCTTATTTTCGCCTCCACAGATGATGTGCCATGGGTCTGAGGGCACTGGGCAACACAACACCACAATCGCGACTGTCGCAACGTGCACGGGTAATTGGACGGTGGATGGCGGCGGCTACAATCCCTATGAAGCCGCAAGCGGGCGGGCCGCCTGCAGCGGTGCCTTCTTCCAGAAAACGTTGGCCTCCATGCGCGTGGACGAGCAGCCCATGCTCCTGGCCACCCAATACAGCTGCATGCTGAACTTCAACTATGAGTCCACCGTCGCCGGTGAAGCAAAGAACACGTCCACCATGTGCCAGCACGTGGAGAGCGTCACCGCCGCAGTGAATGTCGGCACAGTTGACGGCGGTGAGGGGGATTAACGTCGGAATGACGCCTTCGTTGCAGTTTCTGGCAGCATGGCAACATTACATTCTGAATCAGCCAGTTCTTTTACGCTCTTAGCGACGGCCGCTTTCATTGTGAGAAACGCCTCGACTTAAGACCTGCGGCGGCGGCCGCCGACTGGGCGATTCAGGCCCGTGAACAATGCGCAAATGTGCCGAATAGCACGGGCAGGATATCTGCTGGCGCCTCCCGAGCCCTAGTTTTCACTGTGCGACCGAGCTCACATCTCAGCAGCACTGACATCTGCCGTTAAAGTACGACCCAAAGCACTTGTGCTGTTGAGCCGTGCGCCCCATTCCGACGCACACCAGATAGACCACACGCTTATATTACTCACTATCCACGCTCTCCAGAGACTGACAGACATTACTACTGGAAGTGGTCAACCTCTAACGCTAGCAGAAATACACAAATTTATGATGCTACCTGGGATGCCACTTTGACACCAAGAGGTGCCATCGCAATGCCTGCGATGGCATAAAGTAGACGTAACGGCATCAATTTGTGTCCAATGGCATCGCATTCAGCATCGTCAAAATGTCCTTTTCTATTGAGGCAATCTGTGCCGATGCTTGTGCCTCTGACTCTTGTCCGTTTGTCCTGTCCCTGCAGACCTCACAGAGGAGCGCATGGAATCCATGCTGGAGGATGTCCTGCCCGACGGCGACTCAAGCGGGCCTCCCGAATCGTCGGATCGCCAAGGCGTCGACGACCGTCAATGGCCCCTTGACCAGGGGGGCATAAACATCACGTGCAACGGGGCCCATGCGTCCATGCTGGCTCCCTGTCACGGCACGCTGCAATTGGCGCTGGAGGGATCCGATTTCAACGCGACGGAAACGTGCCAGGGCTGGTGGATTCCCGTGCTCGTCCCCAGAGTCACGCTCGCTTGCGCCGGCCAATTTGACGCGGGCGTGAGCAGCAAGGCCGGAGGGGAACTGGTGGAGGCGGTGAGCATCTGCACGGGACACCACGTCCTGGTGAACAGCGCCACGTTTGTCCGCGATACGGACTCCAAGGAATCTCGAGATGTGTGCGTCGGGAGCTCGAGAAAGTGGCATGTGACCAAGTCGCTGCCCCATTGGGATGATGCTACCGTGGCTTCCACCTAGATTCTTGGGAAGGCGCTCTTTGCAGTTGGGATGCCAAGGTTAAGTTGTTGATGTGCGTGTCGCTGTTGCTGGTCGCATCGGAGCCGGTCGATTTGTAGCGGAAGCACAGATTGTCTGGATGAAATTTGAGGTGCTCACCTCAGCGTGAATGATTCTCTTGGGCTTGGTGACATTTTTCGAGTCCTTTGCTTTGAGGTTGCAAGCAACTGTGGTAATGTTCGGGGTTCCCTGAGAATTTGTGAATTTGTAAGAACATCTTAGAGGGGCCCGGTGAATAATCATGGACATTGCTGTCTTGGGTGATTGGGGAGAACAAGGCGACTATGTAAGATATGTGATGTTCTGCAGTGAATCTCGCTGTCGTATGCACTGCAAGGCGCCTACCGCGAAATTTCCAACCCTTCCGCATGGTAACGTAATTCTTGACCTTTGTGTGAAGAAAATTAATAAAATTTTGTGGAGCGGCACAAAGTAATGAAATAACGCTCTGAAAAAATTCCGGAGCAAAAGGCATAACCCTAAAATTTTTGATGCGGAAGGGTGAGTGTACTACGGCATTAGAATGTGTTACATTTTCCTTCAAGGCATGTGCATTTTTTTTATCACGGAAGGTGCCCTGCAGCGACCACGTATCACGGGACTTGCTCACTGCACCTGGCTCATGCGCGGAATCTTCGCCTCAAGTTGGCGCCACGTGGGCGCCACGTGCCTCCACGGGCCCACCCCGGCATAGCGTGGTCTTTGTCATAATGATGATGACGACGAGTTGCCCTTTGGCCCCTTCTTGCCACCCGCAGAAATCACAGTGGAGTGCTTGGAATCCATGCTCGAGGATGCCCTGCCCGACGGCGACTCTATCAACAGCCCCGACTCGCCAGGTGACCAGAAAGTCGTCGACCTGCTGTCGCTTCTCGACCTGGGAGATCCCCCGTCCGGACGTCGCCATCACGTGCAACGGGCAGGACACGTCCCTGCTGCCCCCCTGTCACGGCGCGCTGCAGATCGCAGCGGAGATGCCCGAAGCCGATGTGACGCAAACTTGCAAGGGCTGGTGGTTCCTGGTGCCCGCTCCCAGGCTCATCTTTGCCTGCACCGGCGAGTGGGCCGTGGACGTGAGCAGCAAGGCCGAAGGGGGGGCGGAGGCGGAGGACTGCACGGGGTACACCGTCCTGGAGAACTGGGCGTCGTTCGTTCACAGGCACCACTTCCGGAGGGCTCGGAAAATGTGCCACTAGGAAAAAATGGGCCAAATAACACGTGTTCAAACGTGTACAAAGTTTACGGGTTTGTGTTATTTTTGTGTTCTTAGCGTGTAAAACTATGATGAAATGTGTTTTATGTGTGTTTGCAAAAGTGTTATTTGGCCCTTTTTTTCCTAGTGTGCGTTGGGAGCTCGAGGAAGTGAAATTTGCCGAAGTTGGGGCCCCATTGCGATTACGGGGCCACCTAGATTGTCGTGAAAGGCGCTGTTCGCAGTTGTGACAAGGGTCGGGATGCGGATGTGCGTGTCGCTGTTGCCGGCCTCATTGGACTTGCTGGCAATTTTTGAGTCCTTGGCTTTGATGCTGCGAGCAGCGGTGGCAATGACTGGAGCTTGGCCGAGGTTTTGTGAATTTGCAGCAATACCTTGGTGGGGTTCATTGGCTAAGTCGTGGCCAGTGCTTTCTCGGGCCAATGGGGGCAGACGGCGACCCCCTGGCCTTGGTATGTAAGATTTCTTAATCTTCTGAACTGGGTTGTCATCTGCAAGGGGGGAATGTGAGCTGAGTTCCCCTGCGCGTTGTGCTTGCTGCCGCACTGAATCTTCACACGCCATGCATACGCCACATCGGTCTGCGCGCGCTCACCGCGGTATCACGTACACCCAGGCCTGGGAGCTGCAGGGTAGCTGGGGTTTGCGGCAATTTGAAGGCGCTAACAGCCTGCCTGCATCTTTCTTTCCTGATGGCGGGCCACGCAGCAGGCTTCCTCGCGTTTGCACTTCTGTGCGCCGCAAGTGGGTGTCCGCCTTCGCATCAGGGGTGGCCCCGGGGGCGGGGGAGGGGGATTGGGTCAATCGATGCGCCTTTGCTGTGCTTGGGGGCATCTTTTTGACGTCCCACGCCGTGCCGATTTCCGGCGCGATTTTCCGGCGTTATGGATGGTATGCAACAGTCAGCGTGGTTGGCCACGGGGAGGATCCTGGGCGTCACGCAAAGGCGGTCGCGAGAACCATGCGCTCTCCGCAGCTTCGGAAATTGCGCGGAGAAGAGCGGCCAGCTTCAAGGTCTCGGGTGGCTGATCGCGACTGTTGCGGCAGCCGGGCAAGTTCTCGCCGGCCGTTCTGACCGACGTTGCATCCCGACGCCCACTGTCGGCTCAATGCCTCCCGATCCAGCCCTTGATTTCACCTTTTGGATTTTGTCCTGAGTCCCGCCCGGCGCTTGGGCGCCCGCCCTCGCCAGCTTGCGTCCTGTCGCAGGATGCCAGGGATTTCATCCCGCGGGTCGGCGCCCGTCGTGGCTCGGGGCACCTTGGACAAAAAGGCGGACTCCTGGGCGACCACCTGCTGGGCGGCAGCGTGGAGTGCCACGCCTCCTGCAACCAGATGGCGTACGAGAACGGCACCGACTGCCAGGGCGCATTCAAGGTGGGCGGCGCCGCAGTGGCCTCCGGGCTCGAGTGGCGCAAGTCAGGCTGCCGAGACGGGGATCACTCCTGCCAGAATTCGTTGGCGGGTTGCTGGCCTGTGTGGTGTCGGCTGATCAGCAGTGCTGCTGGCCGGGGGTGGCCGGCATGGTGAGAGGAATCTATTACGTACATCTTGGCGGGCCGTGCCCTTGGTCAACTGGAGCTGCAGTTGCTTGCTCTTCATTTTTTGATTCCAAAATATGGTATCGCATTTCAGTGTCCGGGTGCCAACCCCCGTCCTATCACCAGATACGGCACGCACAATTGCTTGCCGAGCCACGGCACCAGGTTTGCATCTAGGATGGGATGCACGCAAAAGCCGGGGGACGCGAGGCGGCACGTTTGTTCAGCCATCAGTGTCATGCTGAGATGGGGCCGAGCACCGTATTGGCTCCGACACGTGTGCGATGTTTTGGTCAGAGTGTCGCTTGGCCATGGTGGCGCTGACCCGGCATCTTGTGAGGCTGCTCGACCGCAACGGCGTCAGTCACCGGGTGCACCGTGGTTGGAAGTGCACTCGGCCCTGTCATCATCATGGCAAGCACCGTAACCACTCTGCTGTGTCAGGACCACGGTCGCTGGCACATTCTACGGCCTGCGTGCGTGGTTTTCACGGGCGTGTTAGCAGTGGCAATAGTGATCCATTCAACACAGCTAACGCATTTACGACGGAATGCACGGTTGAAAAACGTGTGCCTTCCTTTACTAAACTCTTTGGCGTAGGGACACCACGTCGAGCCGTGTTCGCCAGGATCACAGAAATGACTGAATGACGTTCCTGTGGAGGAATGGCAAGATGAGAGTCTTGATAAAAACGCGGCGCTGATACTTCTGGCCCTCGAAGCTGTGCAAGGGTTTCGGCAAAGTAGGGTCTAATGTCTAATATTGCAAGCTGGGAACGCGGCTAGGAGCGCACCGGAAATGCATTTTTTAGAGTCTGACTCAGCGTTCTTGTGTAAGAATCGACCTCTGTGACATGGGGGTTACGTGAGTGGCGAAGCTGTTGGAGTCGGGTGTCGTCGATTCCCGGGTAGGCCGGTGGCTGCGCTCGAGGGCGGCCGACGGGAGGCGCGGCTGCGGCGCGCCGTGGGCGCTTGCGCTCGAGGCGCGCGTTTCTCGGCGCGATTCCGCGTCGCTACGGCGGCACTGGAGACCATCGCAGGCGCCGATCGTCACAACACTGATTGCCCGCGCCCAAACTCGCGACTCGGCGTTGCCGTTCCCACGAGGGCTCCAGTCGGGCCGCGGGGCGACTCCAGAGCCTTCCAGCGCTCTGCTGTGGCAGGCATCGGCGCAGCGACCGCGGCGCCGGCTGTAATCAGCGCGCCCCTCAATGCCAAAGCGTCCAGGGCCCCCGGGCCCTGGAGTAAAGTTTTGGAAAGCGGAGAGCGGGTGTGCGGCTCCCACCCGGCCCGGGGGGCGTGCTTCAGCGCGAGAACGGGGTGGGGTGAACAACCCGGCCATCGCGACTACAGCTCGCGATGTGTGACAATCATAAACCGAGACCGTCGAATGTGATCCGGAATCCGTGCGTCGATTAGCCAATCTGGCTGCAGCGGTTGTTTTGCGATCCAAACTTGTGGGTGGAAACGGGATCCGCAGGAGGGCTTCCCCACTATGTGTTGTCGAGCGAATGACATCAACTGCGCAACCCAGCCACCGACTGCACAGGCTCTTAATAACGGATGAAGCGGGAACGAAAAAGTGCACAACGTTGGGCCGAAGGCCCGACTTCTGGACTGGTATATACGATTGTGCGTATACAGTCGTGCACATACACTTTCAAATCATGTAAAATTAAGATTAATCAAACGAGAGTACTGTCGTCCCCGTGCCGCATTCTCACCTGTGGAACTTCCACAGTGGAAGGCACCGAAGCATTGTTTTACCCTAGTGGTCTGTCAGTCCATTGATCAGCATAAGGTGGAGTTGGGACTCCATCAGCCAGGCTTCTTATTTATGGCGCAAAACACAGCGTGTACTTTCGTATATTCACGCTGTTTTACGTAAATATACGTAAACACACAAGTTGTGTTCAGGCCGTAAATAGCAAGCCTGGCATCAGCTCCCTGGGGACGTCCCAAATCAAGAATGGCTCGGTTTGCCAGGGCGGTTGTTGTGCACCCTTTTGAATCACCAAGCACCATCGTACAGTTGTGCAACAGCTCCCTTTCGACGGCGACGCTCAGTCCAAGCCATGTGGCTGCGCAGAATCAACCCTGGTGTTCGGGTGTGGCGGTCTCATGAGATTCGCGCTTAGGGTGCATACAAGAAATTTCCTTGAACCCTGCTTTGTCTCAATGCGCGCCAATTGGCCCCGTTGCTGCGGACTCTCCTTCGTTTAGCACTACCGCCGCCATCGACATTTCTGAACATAAATCCACTGATTTGGTACGGGAATCTCCGTTGCGACAGGCGTTGCCGATTTCTCGCAATTCCGGAGTGTGCACAGAATATGACGCACCGCACCAGGAACACCATGTGCCCCAAATGTGGAACGTACACATTCGATAATATACTGTGAAGCTCTTCAAGGAAATGTGTCTAGAATTGCGCGCATTTCCCCAGAAGCACCACACGAGCAAATTTGGCCCGTGCATGATTGGAACGAATCGAGCGCGTGCACATGCACTTTGCCTATAAACTGATTTCCTTATGGCGGGATCCCTCTCCATCTTTGTGCATGGCAGCATGCCGAGCTATGGTCAGAGTCATGAATGTGAATGAACCAGTTCGCAAAAAGTCACAGGCGGACGAGTCGTTTGAAGCTTGTTGCCGTGGATGAGATACTGCACGAAAGACATCCAATGGCCACACGAACACAGTACATGGTCGCTAACGGCCCAAGGATCGCTGCGCTGCTTTGTGCCCGCTCGTCTATTTGGCCGGTTCTGTCCGTTCCAAGGACAACCAACGCAACAAAGATTTCTGAGTTTGACATGCTCCACTCCCACCTCAACAGATAATGTGCCACGGCTCTGAGGGCACCGCGGAGGAGAACACCACATTCGTGACCGTCATAAAGTGCATGGGGCATTGGACGGAAGCTGGTGGCAACTACAGTGCCTATGAGCCCGTGGGCGCCACGGCCTCCTGCAGCGGCGCCGTCCACCAGAAGACACTGGCCTGCGTGGATGTGGACGAGCAGCCTGTGTTCCTGGCCACCGAATACGGCTGCGCGTTGAATTTCAGCTACGAGGTTGTCAACAATGGTGAAGCAAGGAACTCGTCCACCGTATGCCAGGGAGTGGAGAGCGTCACGGAGATATCGAGTGCCAGCCCACCTGACGGCGGTGAGGGGGAATGGATGGCGAATCGATATTTGTGTTGCAGCCATTGTGATCGTGACGAATCCGCCAATTGTTTTTGTCGCTTTGAATCTTCCGCTTTCATTCAAAACGAAGCATGGAGTGGGGACCGGAGGTAAAGCCGCCGACCTGGCCCTTCAGGCTGGTGGGCGATGTGCAAATGTGCAGAGTACAATGAGCGTGGTGTTCGCCCTTGCCTCCTCATCCCCTTTTACCAATATGCGGGCCACTTCACAAATGAGCCGCACTTACATTCGCCGGCGAAATGAGGCCCATGACAAAGGAACGATTGAATGGTGCGTCCTGTTCTGACGCACACCGGATGGCCCACGAACGATTTTCACATGCTCAGAACGTCGCAGACATCGACTGAAAAATTACGCGAAACTGACAGTCTCTACTCGCTGCCGCTCTTTGCACCACTCGGCATTGGTTTCCTTGGTTTCGATGGCACTTTGTGAACTCTCATGCTTGGAAATTGCAAGAAACGGATACAGGCTGTTCGATCACACAGGACTTTGTGAATTTATTCGTTCCGTTACAAGGAAGTTGGTGTCTACATTGTGGAAACACCTTGGGAACTCGTGGAACAAATCATGGACACTGATCTGCTCGGGCGAAATAAGAAGCTGATGGCCACCTTCCCGCCTTGATACATTAAATTTCTTGATGATCACTGTGAGGGCGATGTAAATAGATGAGTGGTTATGCACAGTGTGGTGTCAGAACACGGCGTGTGTGAATATGGTGAATATGTTACTGAGTACAGTAATTTGAATATGGGGATTTGAGAGCTATGAACTGAGTAGACTGCGGTGAACCCTATTTGACTCTCGCGCTCATCCTGTGATTCATGTGATTGCGGTTTTGCTTCTCGTGCCTGCGAGCAATCGTGTCTGTCGAGCGTGGTCATGATGATGATGACGACTCGCCCTTTTGCCCTGTCTTGTCACAGACGTAACAAAGGAGAACTTGCAATCCATGCTCGAGGACGTCCTGCCCGACGGCGATTCTAGCAACGCCCCGGACTCGCCGGACGACCAGAACGTCGTCGACCTGCAGTCGCTCCTCGACCTGGGGGACGTCGCCATCACGTGCAACGGGCAGGACACGTCCCTGCTGGCCCCCTGTCACGGCACCCTGCAGATCGCAGTTGAGGGGCCCAAAGCCAACACAACGGAAAGTTGCAAGGGCTGGTGGTTCCCGGTGCCCGCTCCCGGGCTCATCTTTGCCTGCACCGGCGAGTGGGCCGTGGATGCGAGCAGCGCGGCCGGAGCAGAGGCGCAGGACTGCATGGGGCACACTGTCCTGGAGACCAGGGTGTCGCTCGCTCATGGGCACCACTTTCGGGGGGCTCGAGAGTTGTGCATCGGGAGCTCCAGGAGGTGGGGGCTGGCGAAGGCGGAGCATCATTGGGACGACGCGCCCGTGGCTTCCACCTAGATTGTCGTAGAAGGGCGATTGTGTGCAGCCCGCGCCGAATGTGGGTTGTTGGAGTGCGTGCCGCTGTTGGTGAGCGCATTGATGTCGGTGTCGTCCGCAAGGCAGGGGCCCTTTTGGAGTTGTCCCAGTGGCGAGATCGTGAAGCTGGAGGGTACAGAACGTTATGTGTGTGATCAATGAAATTGTGGGGACCACCGTTTGCGGCGCATTCCAGAGATGTTCTCGTTGTCTCTGAAGGACGGAAGCATTGGCCTTTGCACGTTGAAGGTGATGACGGACGCTGAGACATGTACCATTTGCGCTTTGCGCAGGTAAGTTTCCTCCGTCACAAATTATGGTGCAGTCATGAAGGAAAGAGAACGACGGCATGCACCTGGAAATCGGGATGGAGTTACAGCAAGGTTGAAGGGCCTTGCTGCAACGAGGTTGGTGCTGTGCTTCCTGTCAGTGTTGCCGCAAGCCCTGCGCGTCAACGCTCCATCTGCATTCACCCCTGATGCCATTGGTGCTGTAGGGGATGGATGCTAACAGTATATCAATCGCCAATTTCATCAAAATTACGGCCACTGTTGCTTGTATGGGCATTGCAGCAACATTGACATGCAGCACATCAACAAACTCGCCGCAGCGAGGCCCAACAACGTTGTCGCGACTCCATCCCGATTTCTGGATGTCACGATAGGATTGGCAGCAGGGTTCAAGTGCTTATGTCCTGCCGGTTTTTGACACTGACCGGTCATTTCTGGCATTGGTGCCACCTGACTCGAATAGATGTGTGTGAAACTCCTCAATCGAGGCAAAAATCACAGATTGCACAGCGTGGCACGTTTCTTGGCGCTTCAGCGTGCTTTATCCTCTTCACCTGCTCAGTATTTGTAGAGCACCTCCCGCCAAACCTGCCAGTGCTTGGCGCCTCGTTGGCATGGGCCCGAGTCCGCATTTCTAGCATCGTGAACTCGCTGTGCGGTGGAATTGCCATCATTCTGGCCATCACTCCGACTGCAAACATTTTACAACATTGCGACCATAGGGGCAGGCCATGATTTGCAGTCCCATCCTGTGCATTTGACAACTTTCGCGGGCTGGACTGCAATGAGAGGAGCAATGTGCAAATGTGCTGCAATCTGCAATGCCAACGCACTGCACTGGTAGCACAGCCTCCCGAACGGGGTGCCACAGACGGCTTCTGCCTCACAAAGAATATGGCGCAAGAGAAGGCTGGCTTGCTGTGCATGCCAGCAACGGAAGTCACCTCTTAAACTGAGCCGGTGGTGCTGCATCCTGCAACGGCTTTGCCATTGTGCACGGTGACCCAGGGACAGGCGTGGCCACGTTCCCTTCGGACCACACCTGGTTTCTCAGAACCAAACAGTGCCCAGTTGCATGGAGTGCAGTGATCATTCTTGTGCAGCGTGATCTCGTCTGAATGGGCCAGAAGTGGGGTGTGTGGGGGCAATGGTTGGGACATCCAGTCGAAGGCACAAGAGAAAACGACCAGGAACTGGCCCAGGCACACCATTGCCAACTTTCATCAGCTACAAAGCCACACACCAGTGTTTGTTGATAAGAACAAAGGTACTGCGTATCTGTCGCAATGCCTGGCCCATCACTCCATCCTCCATCTGCTGGTGGATGCGCCGGTGCTGGAAAATGCTGGGAGAATAACCATCAGCAGAATTCTGATCATAGGCTACGATGCCTCAGCCGCCGGTGCGTCATCATGGCAGCGACCGATCGTATGTTCGCTCAGCACCAACCATGTAGCGTTCCATCTGCTCATTCTTCACTTCTTCCAATGTGCCCTGCACGTCATGGAACGGAATTGAGAGTGGCAATGACTGTTGCACTGGGAAGGGCATGGTTCAGGCAATCACAAGCTTGTTGTCTGTCGCCATGCAGAACAAGCGCATGCACATGCATATCAATGCAAGGAAAAACAGGTGATTTTACAACTTGCTCTGTCCACAATTAAGCCATTGTATTCAGCAACATCGGTGTTAATATGTTGTTATGATGGGCGCACAGTGGAACCCTTGCAGAGACAAACAGCTCAAATTAGCCAAGGATGCACACCACAGTGTCGTCTGCAACAATGACATCATTGATGACACCACGGCAGCACTAATCGTACTGCCAACCTGGCACGCGGGTCACTCACGACAAACACACTTGATTCACACTAGCTTCTGGCTGACATCGCTTGACAGGACATCCAGGATATTGCGTTGTCCCTGTTTTCTCACATCTGGCTTGAAGCAGATTTCGATTGCAGTACATTTCTCTACAAGTGGCAGGAACATGTTTGCAAAGACAACAGAATGGAAGCCAAAGATCACATTGCATGGAGACCATGAAGACGTTTTGAGGTGTACCTGAAGGTAGTGGTTGAAGGGTGTCTGTTTCTCCTGCATTTCCTTGTCAAGGTAGACATGCTTCAAGGACAGGTCCATCGCGCGCTTCAGGCGCATGTTGCGCTCCATCTGCACATCCTGTGGCAGCCGGGAGATGGCCTCGTTAATGTCCTGCACACAAGCAACAGTGTCAGCAACGATGGAGGCAAATGCGGCAAGACCGAAACTGGGAGCCTTGTACAGGATAACGGCCAAAGGCACGCACCAGTTAGATCCAATCGCACAGGAGGCAAAAGAGGGCTGGCAAGGTCCTATTCGCTGTTCCATGTTCCCCTTTGTTCGCCCCTGTGAAAATGCCTCCCATTGTACAAGGTCCGCCACTGACAAGGAGTCTGCAGCCATCAGTAGACTACGTGGATCGTAGTTGTGTCCAGATGAGCAGAAGTGCAACAGCCCACTCAGCCATCTTCAGTATTTGAGCGCATGGGTAATCACAAGTGCTGTGAACTGCTTGCTGGCATGCCTCACACAATCTACACCCCCATCCTATTATCACAAGTTCACTGGTACATTGCAGGAACAGGGTACGAATCCAGGCAAAATCAGAAGTTGCACTGCTCGCAGATAGGTATGGGGGACACGCACTGCCTGAAGCAATGACACACGAACATGGGATGCGGCAGGTGCAGCTTGTGGTACTGCTGAAGACGAGTGTACATCACCCCAATTTCACAGCCGCCATTCTTGGCATCTGCGCCATTGTCCCTTCTTCCTTCATTGTCGCCTAGGGACCAGTGCCCTTGACAGTTCACTCTTGGCGCCTGCCTTTCAGCTATCACCACCCTTTCGTTTGACGTCTCACTGCCCCTCCATACCATGGCAAGTATCTCATATGCACATTGATGCAGTCATTTGTTTCCCTGGCAGTGGGTTTGCTGTACACAACACCCACGCAAACATCTCCCCATCCATCCTACCATATTGACCTCACCCAATTTGCCACCTCCCCTTGCACATTACCCACGTGGAGCCAAGCACTGCGCCCCAATCACACATCGCCGTTTACAGGGCTGCGTTGGTCACGCATGGCTTTACAAACCCCTGCCGTGATTTGATCAAAAGCAACTCTGCTGACCGGCAGCCGCAAACCCCTTGGTGGCAACCATCCAGCAGGATCGCCTCCCAGCCTCCTTTTACCCTTTCCCCTTTGGCACCAAAACGCAAAACGCTTCATTCTCCCCCGCCCAGCAACCCACATTTGCAGTTTTCTCAACGGTATTGGGCTTGTATTGTCTGGGGGCTCCAGCTACATCCCCACAAAGGTGTAGGAAAAGTGGGATCCTGTGATGTCTTGTCGCATTCTCCCCCCCCTCCCCTTACCATCATCCAGGAAGCGGTGACTTCCTGGGTACCTTCCCCAAGTTCACTGCTCCCGGACCAACTGCTTGCTCTCCAGACACTCACCAGGTCGTGCATTGGGTCGTACAGATCATCATATCGCAGACCATACTTCTTCAGCTCCGCCGCCACGGCCGCCTGGTATCGCTTCGCCGCCCACTGCACCATCGGCTCGAACATCCGAGCGACCGACTGCGCGACGAAGGGCGGCAGGCGGGGGGGTGGGGGTGGGGTTGGTTAAGATTTGTGACAAAGAGAGAAAGAAACAGGTGACACAGAGGGCACCCCTCCTAAGCAAGTCCATGCGAGACTCTTCTCCACGCTGTGAAAAGATGACATAGACCCCGGGCGGCGGGGTGGGGTGGGGGGGAGGCGAGCAGGAGGGGATGGAAGCCCCAGGCGGATGCCGGCGGGCTGGTGCGAAGTCGAGGGGGCGGGCGCAGGGCGTGGGCGCACCATGGTTTGGAGTCGTGGCGGGGCGGAGGGAGAGGGCGGGGCGGTGGGAGGGCGATGGGCAACACAGTGGGAGTGGCTGGGGAGTGCTTGCGGGATCCGCTTTTGGGTCGTGGCAGGGGCGGGAATGCAGTAGTTTGTAGTACAGTAGGGGTCCCTATATAGCGCCCCCCCCGTGACATGGCCAGAAGGGGGGCGCTATTGGGGGCCGGGGGCGCTATTGTGTCAAGGGGTTACCCTGAGCAACCGGTGTAAAGCTTTACACATTAAGGGTACCCTGGCCGCCAGTGTAGGGAATACCCTAAACTGCCGGTGTAGGGGTACCCTGGCTGCCAGTAGTGTGTACCCTGGCCGCCGGTAGGGGGCACCCTAACTGCCAGTGTACGGGGTACCTTGACCGCCTGTGTGAGGCGTACGCTGCCCCCAGCCTTCTGGGTCCATACCGGCTTTTGGGGCTAGCGACTGTCGCGGCGCCGAAGTCGCGGGCGCTGGGGCCTGTCGCAGTGAAACAAAGCACTACGGGAATGGTGACGAGCCGTAAAGGGAGTCGCTAAACTTGGACAGGTCGCTAAATAGGGGTCGCTAAACCGGACCCCTGTACTAGTTTGAGGCCCCACTGCACAGCGAAGGTGTATAAAGTACTACAGAAATGGTGACAAGCCCAAAAAGGGGGCGCTATTGGGGGCCGGGGGCGCTATTAGGGGGGCGCTATATAGGGACCCCTACTGTATCAGGAAATTGGGGCGTGGGGTCCAATGTGGGGTAGCTGGGTGAACAATACCGTCACCAAGCTAAAGGGAAGGGTTTCAACAGAACGAGCGTCAGAATCTATGTCGAAAACAAGCGAGAGGAACTGGGGCAACAGAACGCGGGCCGATCTCTGGGTCCAAGGACTGCTCGGGTCACCATTATGGCTCAATAATGCGCCATTCACTTGCGTCAAGCTGGTGCCCCGTGAGGCCCAGAGTTCACCGGCATGGGACTCCCGTGTGGGGGAGCCATGGCCGGGCGGGGATGGATCGTATAAGCATCTAGGCTACCAGGGCAGTATCGGCAGCCCAGGCTACGGCAACAGGGCCCCGATTCAGCGGCAACCTGAGCGATACACTCTCATAACCAGCACAACTAAGCAGCGCAGTCAGGGAAGCACGTCCGAAGCCACATGAGCCGTTGGGGCTCCGCGCCACCCCCATGGACAGTGGGTCCCCGCAACTCCACGCAGCACCAGCCCGCCTACAGGCGACCTGCGCAGTTCACTCAGGGACAGACAGGGAAGGGCCCTGCGTTGAGAAATCGGAGCAATGCCCATCGTTGTGACGAGCGGCCCCGTGGACATCCATGGGCCGGCGATGGAGGGGTGCAGCCGTGCGGTGGCTGCGTGTCCCCGTAAGGGGATAGCCCCCTTCCGCCAGGGGAAAACCGCCGCCTCCCTGAGGCCTTTCAGTCTGCCCGTAAAGTTTTCAGGGCGGGGGCCTTTCGGTCCAGAGCCCCTAAACCGAATACCCCGGACCCGAGCGGCTGGGACTCGATGGTCCGGGTGGGCGAGGACTGTGCGTAAGGCCGCCTGCGGCAATCTGAGCTGGTGGGATTACGGAGGAGGGGCTTCCCGCCGATCTGACAGGAGAAGGTTTGCGGCGGCGCCCCTGTGTGTGAAACGCACCGGCCCGGAGGCCTGGGCGGGGCAGCGAGGGGTGTTGTGGGATGGCTAGCTCCGCGGCTCTGCGGGTGGGCCCCGGAGATGACTCAGCGGGGGATGGGCGTGGGCGCGGTGTGATGAGGGAATCGCGGATATCGCTGGCAGGATCGGGCTGAATCGGGCGCCATCAATTTAACCTGTATGTTACTTCGTCGTGAGCAGCACGGAAACGGGCCAGCCAGCATGCAAGATTTCCAGACAGTCATTATAGGGATGGAGTGGTCATTAAGGGGAAGGCAAGATACCAATAGATTCCAAATTTAATTAGCAATCGAATGGTGGTTGTTATTGTTGATTTGATGAAGAATTGCATCTTCTAGGGGATTTTTTCGATGTACGGCGGAAGGCCACAGGGAACCAGGCTGTTCGGAGGCCTGACAAGTGACTGATTGGACTGATGGTCAGAGGGCGGTAGACGGGATGTTGAGGCGAGCGCGCATGGATTCCATGCGGATTTCACACTGTGCGCTCGAGAAGGCCCTCCGTGTCGTCTGTCAGCAGCGCAAGGATGGCCGGTTCTCAGGGCAGCTCCCGCATCGACAAAGTCTTGGAGTGGCGCCATGCCCAGTCTCTCCTGGGGCTAAACGAAGTGCGGGATTTCTGCCATCAGCTGGAGCAGTTCCAGGTGGCACGGTTGGCGGCGCCAAGCTATAGTGACTGGACACCGTACTGTACATTGACGGGTAATTAGATGACTTAGATGAGTTAGATGTGTTCATCTGAGTCTAGAAATGTGTTAATCATGATCGCCACGTTCATCTTGTTAAATGGGCCAATTTTCGGTATAATGAGGTTATTAAGGCAATTTAGGTCATTTAGCCCATTTCTGGCCATTTGAGGCATTATTCCTTGATGGAACCGGTGTGATGATGAACATTATAGCCTATTATGATGTAGTGCGCGGTCATGGGCGGAAGGGAGCCGCCAGGAAGTGGTGGAGTACACTCCAAGGGATGATATGGGGTTGATCCGGCAGTACGGGCACCTGTCAGGTACCCGCATTACATTGGATCACAGGTACAAGCGCCCCTACGGCCATGGTACATTGGAGGGACGTGGTATAGCTTGGGGAAGCCGCCTGGCATTACTAGAGGCACGCCAAGGGGCCAAGGGACCATGCGAGTGGCTCTCCAAGGGCCGAGGTGACCTTACAGGAGGCCGAGGGTGGCATGACATGAGTGTATTGGACATTACAGGAGGCCGAGGGTGCCATGACGAGAGGGGGAGCGCGCCACCTATAAAAGTGGGCACCCCATAGGCCATTTGTCTCAGTTCGCCGGTGCACTCGACCTTGTCTGGACCAGGGGGCCCACCACCATTGTAATACATTGACCGAAGCTCCGCCATCTGTCCCATTTGGTCGCCATTATCCTGGGGGATTCTACAGTGGTTTCGGAGCCGAGCGACCAAGAGCATTGAAGGGGCGATCTATCCATCACCATGGCGCACCATGATGGTCAACCAGTCGTGATGGGAGAGGAGGAAGCTCGCCAGGCGGAGGAGCGTTACCAGAAGTTGATGCAGGAGGTCAACCAGACCCGCGAACGGAATCAACAATTGGAGCGGGAGATGGCCATGCTGCATGAGGAGAGGCAGGCTGCCGAGTATCGAGGTGACCGTCGATCTCGTGCTCTAGCTCAGGATATGGCCGAGTTGACTGCCGAATTGATTTCCGGTCGTGGAGTGGCACCAATGGGCGTGAAAGTGGAGAAGCCTGAGACCTATGACGGTGCCAAGCATCGTGATGTTGACACATGGTTGTTCCAAGTGGAGGAGCACATGTCGTTGACTGGAATACCTGTCGCCTCTCGTGTTGGATATGCTGCATCGCTGTTGAGGGGTCATGCTGCCATGT